AAAATTTCAAAAATTATCAAACAGATCCATCTAGTTCCGTTGGATTTGCAAAGAGAAGAAACAGAGTGGATAACAGTATGAAATGTATAATTAAGTCTAGCATTACCATCCACTTAAGTATTTACTGACTAGGATGTATAAAAAAAGATGACAATGGAGCTAATTTATGAAAAAAATCGGAAATGACATGAACGCTTTCATCCATCAATACTTGACGGATATTAAGCTGAATGCGTGGCTCACTAATAAAAGACTCTATTAAAGGACTTCGATGCGCTTTTATCTTCCGTTTAGAATTGCAGGAAATTGCGTCACTACCGCTTAGTAATTGTTGAATGCAAAGCATCTTTGTGATAAGATTTATCATAAAGATGCAACAAATAATTTCTATTATTTCCTTTCATATAATTCAAGAATACTTCCAGAACTCACTCTTATCTAACTAATATTCACTTTATGGCTTGTATCATTCAGTTCCTGACTTTTTCTTTTAGTTTCACAATTCAAAACCAACACTACTAGATCACGATCAATCAGGTAACAGTTGTTGTTCTTAAAAATCTTCATAAGGTCTTTTCAGGATGAATGGTGTTGAATAGGTCTATACATATACTGATTCCATACTACCATCGATTTTTCCGAACAATGAGCAGTTTGCCTTAGTTACTGCTCCCTTTTTATTGTCATCAAGCAAAACTAAGTTCGATCGAATTTTGGTGTGATGCTTTCTCTTTCATTTGATTTCAGTGATATACATCAAGAGATGAATAGAGTCATACCAGGATCTTCATGTTTTCTCAAATTGTTAAGAGAAACCTTTATGGTGGATATCACAGCGCAGTTTGTTATCGGTGCAGGGATTTTTAATACCTTTCTGACAGCGAGTCAAATATCCATCTGGCAGAAGTTTCTGTCATCTTTTTTTATGGAAAATGCATGGTAACCATGGATGTGACAGATATTTCGAATTCTGGTGGAAGATCAACAATAAGTTCAGTAAGCAAGTGATCAGAGATAGGCCTTCAACAAATTTCAACAATGTAACCGTGCAAATTACAAAAATAAACTTTTCTTTCCTTAATCTTTAAAATAATGTCAAGAGATGTTGAGGCACTACATCCATCATATAAGTTCTACTTTCTGAAGAAGAAATTAGAATGAATATTTCGCCATAATTCATGACTTCTGATTCCTTTGAAATTTGTCAACTTTTCAAATTTCGAAAGCAAAATCTAGAAAATAGTAGGTAATAAATCATTGTATAAATTGATAATTGTCATTGATTATCGAAGATGTTATCTCACATAAACAAGAAAAGCTTATTTCACTTGCAGAACCACAATTTAGTAAAGGCTTATTATCATCGAGCTCCATAATTATTTTAGTTAAGCTTACTTCGTCAGTTGTCGCATTCATTTTCAAATTAATTTCCTCCAGTGACTCTGGTATGTCACCGTTTGCAGTCATTTTATCGTCCTTTTACGTTTCCACAAAATACTATTTGCCACTAGCAATGAATAAATCTGTAATTTGATCAGCTTATACATATCAAACCTTCACTGTAACATGTGGACAATTACCTGGCGATAGCACAATACTTTGACATACTTCATCCAACAGAGAGACTGAATAATAATATTAAGCAGATATAATTGATTACGATCATGGTGATAAGGAAGTTAGCTTACAAACGGAATTAATCTATACAATATATCGAACAGATGTTTGATATTCGAATATTCTCTGATATTCACTATACTTCAATATATTCTTAACATGTTGTTTATGCAAAAAAAAAAAAGAAAAGAAAAAAAACAAATAAAAAACAAAAAGAATAGAATGGCATTGTTTAGATCGACTCCGTGATACCTTGTTTTACTTCACGTCCTTACTGCCACTATAAATAGAACCTTTGCTTCAAGCGCTAAATCACAATTGCACTAAAACAGAAAAGACTGAAATGGTCTTTACATATCGATCCATTCTATTCTCACTCCCAAATGATAGTTATCAATGCTAATAGATGATGAAACAGTTTGAAAATCATAAGTGGCTAGATTATGAACAAATAATAGATGCTGTAAAAAATAATTGAAAACATAGATTCATTCGTTAGCTATCATGCAGCTTGAAAGTTCGAAATTTTTCAAGTTCAAATTCTAAACTTTTCAGGCAGAATGCTTTAACGCATTAGTGCCTTTATTGACGTATATCCCGCAACTTAGTAATTACTGGAATGTTATGGAGGTAAAACGATATTGTAACACGAAGAAGTATTAAACAAACACTGGTAACATTTGGTTATTTTCATAACTTAATTACTTTTAGCTAAAAGCTCAGATAACATTTTTTAACCAACCTGAAAGTACACTAATCTCAGAAGTTGAAAAATACCACCGATTTTTTTGACTTACGAATGCTATACCTGTGCACTAAGTAATTTCTGAGTTTTTTTCTGCTATCTCTGCGCTAAATAATGAACAATATGTTAAGACGTAAGGAGTGTTCTGTTCTGTCATGCACAATAATAACACAAAAAATGCTCCTAAATTTGAAGGAATATCTCGATTTGTGCAAATGACTAACAGATGAATATTATCCTTTTATTAGTTTCATTTATTCCTTTCATTGGATCTTACTCTTCATCTTTTGCGGTCTTAACCCTTCCAAAAGAATTTAAATTATGCTTTCTTTCACTTACACTGCATTTTCATGCTGAAATGTCAATAAAATTACGCGTGTCCGTTTGGAAAATGAGAAAAGGATTGGGAAATATACACGTATACTATCTTCTTAACGCGACATTTTATTAATTAATGAGCGCAATTGTTGGAACAGAATATGATTAGATGCTTTTCCTCATATCATTTCATCGAAATTCCTATAAAAATGATCAAAAGCCGATGTACAAATCGATTTTCCTAGCAATAAGGTAAGATATAGCATTTGGAAAGAGATAACCTCGGAATAATTATCTCAAAAAAATGGTCAGAGATATGAAATTTACTTTCTTATATGCATAAATTGATCAAAATTTGAACGTTTCTGAGAATTATTACAACGAAATTTTTTTTTTTGAGGTTGCTGTAATCATTGCCAGGAAAATCGATTAGCTAAATGCTTCCTGCAAAAGACCCATTTCATTTATTCAACTCCATGAGCAGAAAATTAAAGTCAAAGTCTTTCGATCAATTGTTGCGACAGTACAATTTATTTCTTCAATGAATAACAATGTGATAAGCCGTAAAGGTCCAGAAGATTCCTTTCGGTCTTCGTCTTTTTCATCCCGAATCTTTCGCTTCTAATAAAATGTATTCCAAAATGATTGGATCATTACGTTTTGGTTTGTTAGGCTTCGTCGAAGGTAAGAGAATTTAACTGGCTAAGAATGAAACAACAGCATCAGATCATGTTTGCGATAGTGGCAAACCTTATATTAATTAAAATGTTTTAAGAGAAGCTTTAAGAAAATCATTTCTACGATACTGTAACTAATTACAGGGATACTTTGAAGTATTTTCGCATCTTGCCAAATATTCATAGCATGCTAAGTTTGCGATTCTCGTAATTTGAAATTTGTTCTCAGAAATGGGAAAATGGAAATAGCATGAAATGTTAAGTTGAATAAATTAATAACTTCGAGATTAATTTTCATGAAGCATGTAAAGGAGTAAAACGATTGAGTCTTTACAGTATTACAAAACTTGCCAAGCTACTATCAAGAATATCATTAGCATTATGGAGATATCATTTCGATATCTGGATGGGAGAGCGCACCACAGCTTTAGGTTTGACAAGATAAAAGACAATTAAAAAAGAATTCCGCTCCTTTTCGTTAGTGCAAAAACTGCAGCAGCAATTAAGCGGAAATGAGATTTTCTCTCCGATTTCAAATGATGTCACTCCCGACCCAAAAGACTTACAAATGTTAGACGGAATAAATCCTGAGAATCAATGACATACTCGACAAATGAATTTATCATATTATTCTAGTTCGATGTACACACTTTTTTATTCTCTAATACTTTTTATCATCAATGCGCTGAAAATGTAAATGAAGACACATCTGAAGTGCTTACTTCGTCTTTCAGCAGGTGAGAGCGAACTGCTCATGATTAACTAATTTGTCTACTTACTCATAACCTGTTCCACTTTATTTTTGCTTATTTATTATTGTTATTACTATTATTACTAATTATCACTATTATTAATTATTATTATTACTAATCATTATTATCACTAATTATTACTAATTACTATTACCACTCTTATTATTGCTATTATTGTTATTATTATTACTATTAATTATTATCATTATTATTATTACTATTATTATTATTATTATTATTATTATTATTATTATTATTATTATTATTATTATTATCATTATTAT